ACACACACACACACACACACAAGTATGTATATGCCTGTGTAGTGATATGTTGTGTACCCTAATAAAATTTGCCTGGAGATCAGAGAACAGAACAAGCCACTAGATTAAACACAGAAGCCAGGCAGTGGTGGCACACACCTTTAATCCTAGCACCTGGGAGGCAGAGATGCATCTAGATCTCTGTGAGTTCAAAGCCACCCTGGACTACATGAGATTGACTCAGTCTAGGAGAGAAACAGAGCCAGGCAGTGGTGGCACACACCTTTAATACCAGCATTGGGAAGCACACATGCCTTCTAATCTCAGCACTAGGAAAGTTGAGACAGGAAATGATATGGGTGGGAGGAGAAAGGTATATAAGGCGTGAAGAGACAGGCACAAAAGCTTTTTCGGCTGAGGAAGCTTTTTTGGCTGCAGCCCTTTTGGCTAGAGCTCTTTCAGGCTGAGGAGTTGGTGAGGTAAGAGGTGGTGGCTGTGGCTTGCTCTGTGTCTTTGATCTTTCAGCTTTCACCCCAACAATATCAAGCTCTGGGATTTTTTATTAAAAGACCTTTAGAATTTCAAACATGCCTGACTGCTTTTATGGTTCTATAATATAACTTGAAAGCATGAAATAACTATAGATAATCTTATAAGGTTAGCAAGCACATTTTAAAGATTATTTATTTAGTGACTGTGAGTAAATACCACAGCCTGCATGTGGAGCTCACTGGACAACTTTGTAGAGTCAGTTTTGTTGGGTCTGGGGTCACACAATAATGGGAGACAGACCACCCAAAGTCTAATAAACCAGAAGCAGACTTTATTCCAGAAAAAAAAACAAAGAAAGAAAAATCACCACGGGGCACAAAAGCATATCAGCTAGCTGAGAGCACAGCCAGGGTTCAGATTCTGAGGCTGTGGCAGTTGGAGTGGGGTCATGAGCCCCTTCTTATAGCATTAGGCATGGACAAAGGAATTTTTACAGTTTTGAGTTAAACTTGTAGAGACAAATTGCTTTTAGGTGTTAAAATTTTCAATTAACAAAGTTTTAGAGGGTTTTAGCTAAACGGTATTTGTATATCCCTGCAGCCCTTCCTGACACAGATAATTGATGTTCGCCCAAGCCTGCAACTTTTCCTGACACAGCTGTGTTCCCAAAGCAGGAGGAATATGAAAGAATGTAAAGTGGCTTGTCACGTAGAACTCATTAAAAGTTAACTTTGGTTTCAGTAGTAAGTGGTAGGGGGTTATCAAAATAGCTAACCCCAGGGCTACAGAGGGCAATCTTCAGGGGAAAAAAAAAAAAAAAACACTAACATTTGGGTTGCTGACGGAACTGTCAATCGTAAAACACAGAAGGGCCCAGTTACAGGTTAGTCCCTATTTGCTGGCCAAGTTGATGGCTGTCATTTTTCCATCTCTTAATTTTTTAAGGTTTTATTCCTACATTCCTATCTTATTCCTGTATTTCTAGACCCTTCAGTTTCACCTTCCAACCTGCTGAGGTGGTGCCTTCCTTGTTTCTGCTGATAACAGTTTGTAGTCCAGACAAGCTGATCAAGAGCTTCCTGGCAGCCCTCCAGGCCCGACCTCCCATTTTGTCATAGGCATGCTGTGCTTACCGATGAAGACTAAAGGTATAAAGTTGTTTATCAGCTGATAGCAATTTAACTTCTAATCGCTGCTGTGTGACAAGACTTTTCCTGGTGAGACACAACACAACACACATGTACTCACCCCAGAGAGAGCACCCATGGTTGACCCAAGTATGGAGAGCACCGAAGTGCGATTGGTGAACCAATGAATTCTACAGGGATCATCTACAGGAACAGAGGTGAGGGGTAAAGGAGCAGAAGTGATTCTAAGACAGCTGCATCACCGAAGCCCCCTGGAGCCTAGATGACTGTCACAAACAGCTGCATCACAAACAGCTGCATCACCGAAGCCCCCTGGAGCCTAGGTGATGGCTCACAAAGCTAGGAACCTGGAGCACACTGCACAGTCTGCAGGCAGCGCAACAGGATGGAAAGTGTACTCTCCAGGTACCTCAATTAGTCTAAACCTCTTCCAGGCAGCTCTTCTGGTTTCTGCTTCTTCCAGGCAAGGTGGTCAGGTCTCAAGAGTCTTTGAAGCTCGGTTTGTCTGAGAGTGACCCTCAGCAGTCTTTACTCTTAGGAGGGAGGGGCCCAGTAATCTGGTCAGTTTCAGAGACTTCCTTACTGAAGCTATCTTGAGTTGTTTATCTTTTGTCTTAAAGAGTTTACCTGCAGGGCTGGAGAGATAACTTGGTGGTTATGAGCACTGACTGCTCTTCCAAAGGACCAGGGTTCCAATTCCCAGCACCTACAAAGTGGCTCACAACCTTCTGTAACTCCAGTTCCGGGGGATCTGCTGCCCTCTTCTGGCTTCCATGGGCAATGCATGTACATGGTGCACAAACAGGTGGGCAAAACACCCACACACATCAAAAACAAAAACCAATCACAAAATTTTAAACTTTGTATGGTGATACACACCTTTAGTCTCAGCAGCTGGGAGGCAGAGGCAGGCTGATCTCTTTGAGTTCAAGGCCAGCCTGGTCCACACATAGCAAATTCCAGGACAGTCAGAACTACAGAGAGACCCTGTCTTTAAAAAAAAAAAAAAAAAAAAAAAAAAATTACCTGCAGGATAGAATGTTAAGTTCTGGAGGGAAATTGCTTAGCACTGACAAAGCATATACTGGTCTCGTGATGGATGATGTAAGGGACCTCACTCTAAAACTAGAGCAAACCTGTTGCTGGAGAATTTCTCTCCAGCTCCCGCTGCCAAGTCCCGCCAGTACCAGAGCCCTCTTACTTGGTTGGGTCTGAGCGGCTGTGGGACTGGCGGGTGACAAAGATTTGTCCTGACTGTGGGCAAGGCAGGAAAACTCTAGCTACACAAACCTTTCCTGACAATGTTTTCTTATGAACCCCCTTTAAAAAAGGTACAAAAAGCAGAGTATTACAATTGGTATTTAAAAGGCAAAAGACTGTTTTTCTAAGTATATTTGAAACAGACCCACTATTATATATATTACGTGTATATATATAATAGGAAAGTCTATTAAACAAGGTTTATTTATAGTAATCACTGGTAAAAATTAGGAGTCCACTTAGTCACAAGTACAAGTCTGTTGTAGTTGTAATTTAGCTTATTTTATGACAATTCTGATTTGAGTTAGTTTAAGCTGAATATAAATAAATAAAAGCTGGAAAATAATGTGTAATTCAAGATGCAGCTCCTGGTATCTTCATAAAAACTACTGTGTCCTTCTCTGTAATGTAGGTCAAAGAAATACCATTACGGTCAGTTTTTTGTTTGTTTGCTTGCTTGCTTGTTTTTTGTTTGTTTTGTTCTTTGTCAAGAATTTGATACTGAGGATCTGGAAACATAAAGCATGAATTATAAGGTCAAAACAATTAATACATTTCCTACAACGAAATTTTGATAGAAAGTGAATGGTTCTTTATTTGTGCTAGGAAAAAAAATACAGTTTAATTAAAATCAACCTAGATACTTTTCTACTCAAAATTTAATGTAGCCTAAGTTAGTTCCAAATAAGGTGTGTTAAATGTTAGTGACTAATCCACACCTGACATTATTCTCAGGGACAGGTAATAGACATCTATCAAGAAGAAAAACATATTCTCTTCTTTAGACTTACTTATTTTTATTTATGTGTATGGATGCATGTGTGCTGGGTGCCTTCAGAAGTCAGATGAGAGCATTGACCTTCCCGGAACTAGAGTTGCAGACAATGCCCAGTGCGGGTGCTGGGAACTGGACTCTAGTTCCTTGAAAGAGCACTCTTGACTGCTGAGCCATCTCCCCATCACTAAGAAATACTCTCAAAAACCTTTTATCAGAAAGACATTTGTTTCCACTCTTCTGGCCACAATCTATATCTGTCCCAGGAGATTTCCACCCAGTCCCCAGATACTGTAAAGGAATCAACCTCCACTCTACTATTGCCCCAGGACCAGCTCACCTCCCTAATCTCAGTGGTCCTACAAAACTAAACAGCCTTGACTTGCTGACAAGAAAGGAGGTACATGTCTCTTGTTACTATGTAAATCAATCTAGCTAGGTAGAAAGATGGGATTAAAGACATCCCTGAGCTGGCAAGCAGATCCAGCCTCTGGGAGCTGACTCAAATTAAGGACTCTCAGTATGGTGGTCTGCATCTCGTTTCTCTCCTCTGCCCTCAGATTTCGATCTTCCACATAGTCATGATTGCCCCATCTCTTCAGAATTGTTCAGGAAGGAATTAATGAGCTACCCCGATGTTCAGTGAAACAGATGCCTCTGACAGAATTCCCTCAAGTCCATTGCCTTCCAGCTTGAGCCCCTGTTTTGGACCAGCATTCCAAGCCCCACCTTTTCCAACATCCCTACTCAACAGGAAGCAGCTTACCATTTGCTACCTACCTACCTACCTACCTACCTACCTACCTACCTACCTACTATCTACTGTCACCCCTTATTGTCAGTAAAGGGCTAGAATGTTAGGTCCCCAAATGAGGCCCCAAAGTGCTGATGACAAGGACCCGTCTTCCACCTGAGAGGGATTAGGGAACAGAAATCTCAAGCATTTCTCAGAAGCCCCCAAAGGCTGGCTGAATGCTCTAAGAGCAACTGTCAGCACCTACTCTACCTGAAAAGTTCCCAGGCTAACCACCTGGCTGTTCCAGCTTCTGCACAGCCTCCCCCGACATATAAAACACAACAAGCTTTTGAAGCTGGACGCTGTCCTCCCTTCTCGAAGGCAGCCCGTCAGTGGGGTTTTTTTCTCTCCATGGAGAGTGGTTATGTTTAGTGTTTTGTTTTGCACCTACTTACACCAACCAATTGTTCCCAAATAAGTATGCCATTTGTAGATGATCACCAATTTCACATCAAAATGAACAGTTCTGAATGCAGACTAATCCAAGGCGAGGGAAGAGTAAGCAAGTCGGAGTGCTTTGGCCACAGTGGGTATCAAATTTTTTAGGGTTTCATAGACTCAGTATAATTGATGGGAAGTAGGGAAGCAAAGGGGAGCATTTATAGCATATGAGATGAAAAGCCAAGGAAGCAAGGGAACGTGCTAAAGTGGACTGGTCCTGAAACAAGCTAATCATCCCAGATTAAAGAAATCTTCCACCTGCCATGTGGTTTCCTGCCTAGTGCAGCAGATGGGGGTGTGGGATGTCTGTCTTTCAAAATAGAAGTGCCCCTTAGAAAAAAGATTCTATCACCTATCCTCTTTGACATTTTGGACAGGAAATAGGAAAATAGTTCCACATTTCATATACATCCATTTTATCCTGATCATATTAATTGTAACCTAATTACCTTTTATCTGTCCTTCCCACATGACTGTCAATTCCTTATGTTGGACAGTTTTTCGGTTTCACTTTACTGTTTTGTACTTTACTTGCAAACAACAGGGACCATCAATAGCAGAGCCGCTGAATGCTGGTTTACACAGACTCAGAAAAGGGAAGGACATGGTGTTGATTGCAGCTGTCTGTCCATTTGGGCTGTGTTGGCCTGTTATCTTTAATGAGCATGCTATTTCTCCAAAGTTCATCTCTCTCACAAGAACATCTAAGCAAGTACAGCTGAGTGGCAGGGCGCTTGCCTAACACGCATGAGGCCCTGGTCTGGCAAAAAATCTATAGTTGTGTGAAAGCATACACTCCATTGTGTAAAGTACTCTCACGATGTGTTAGAACTGTCTGTTACAAGCCTATTGCATCAGCAACAAGTGTGCCTCTGCCCTGTACCTCCTGTTGCCTCTGAGAATAACACACACTTGTGTTCACAGCAGGCAAACCATCAACTTCTGCCCAGAAAAAAAAAAAAAAAAAAGATGTTTTTGAAGTCCTTGTGTAGCTACTGCAAAAGAACACCTAATAAATTTCAGTAACTTACAACTTTTAATAAACATGCTTAAATTGAGTTTGTTTCCATTGGAATTAATTTATTTCCAAAGCTTATTTAGAAAATTGTATTTGTACTTGATAGTAATAATGAGTGTATAGCACATACAGTTATATTTTTTCCTTCTACTGAATAAATCATATATATGTATTACAATTCCATCTTAAAATAATTAGTGCAGTGATTCAAATAAATCAACTCTAGCCCAAGGGAAGGAAAAACCATCAAAAGCATTTTTTAAGTTTATGCTAAATTAATCATGTAAAGTTCAAGGTACTGCATTCCAAATGGAGCAAGGAGTGAAGTATAATTAATTCAGAGTTGAATGTCAACCGAATAAAATTTTTTAAAAATTCCTTAATCAAATACCACCCTACCTCAATATACCTGCAAAACAGGCTTCTTCATCTCCATTGTTTTCATCACTGTATTCAGTGATACAGATTCATATGACTTACAATATTGCACCCATTTCTAAAGTGATAGATTTAGTGATACAGATTCATATAATTTGCAATTGTCAATTTTAATATGCATGTGGAATTTTTAACAAGAATTTCTTTGCAAACCACAAGGTCAGTATATATTTAAAGAATGACTATTGGTTTCATTGTGGAGAAATTTTGAGAACTCACAAAATTTCCAAGATGTTATTCCTCTTCTTAAACATTGTAGTCATTTAAATATTTCCTTATTTAATATTTAAGAAGAAATAGAGAGTTGAGTCTACTCCTGATTATTTATCTATACATAATTAAGTACTTCACTGGTCTATATTGACTTTTTTAAATTAATTTTATTTCGTGTGCATTGGTGTTTTGCCTGCATGCATGTCTGTGTGAGGATGTTGGATCCCTTGGAACTGGAGTTAAGAGTTAGTTGTGAGCTGCCATGTGGGTGATGGGAACTGAACCTGGGTCCTCTGGAAGATCAGCCAGTGTTCTTAACTGCTGGGCCCTCTCTCCAGCCCCCTATATTGACTCTTAACAGTATACAACTCTTATAATGTTTGGAGATGATGCAGTAAATGCTACAGCAATCACAACTGACTGACTGACAACACTTGCAGCTAGCTCTGAAAATTGGGCAATGT